CTGAGGTCAGGGCAGCGTGTTAGAAATACAGGAGCTGGGCAGGACTTCTTGTAGTGACCCCACCGCTTGTAACTTCGGGGCTCACCCCTCCAGTGTGATCATGTGTCTTTCATCACCAATCCCGCCCTCTGCCTAGGCTGGGAAATCGACCAGAGGCCGAGGCAGCATCCACCCCTGAAACTTCAGATTCCAGCCTCGTTTACACCACTGCAAATCCGGAGTGACTCCCCTGGAGTGCGCTTGTCAAGGGTGATCTCGGAGTCTCCTGGGGAGGGTGCGGAGGACTCCGGCTCCCTTTAGAGCCGCCGCGGGTGCCCAGAGAGGCAGCGTCCGGCCCCCTCGCCAGTGTCACGGAGGGGGCGCCTCTGGGGCTAACAGCCGGGCTGCCGTGTGGCAGAGCAGGGCGAGCCCCGGTGCAGCCCTGCTCGCCAGTGCGGGTGAGTGACGGGGCAGCAGCTTAGCCCCGGCCTGCCCTGGCCTCCCTCAGCACTGGCCGAGCTCCCTCCAGCCGCAGCCTCGGCAGCCCTGCGCCGGGCGTGGCTGGGCGCCTGCTGCCCCGGGCTCCGCGGCCGCTCTGCTGGGGGGCAGGGGGTGGCAGCTCTTTCACCTGTCCCCCCACCCCCAGTGCGAAAGCGGCCACGCTCCGGCGGTTCCAGCCCTTGCGCCTCTGGGTGCGAGCTGCCCAGCCCTCCTTGGGGGCACCCCGAACGCAGAGGGGTCCCGCCCCAGAGCCATGGACCAGGGCTGGGCCCTGGGTCACCCTCCGACCCCTGGGCTCAATGGGCTGGGGTGGGGGTTTCCTCTCTGGACGCTGGGGGTGCGCTGGCAGGGGGCTCTCCCCCTCCATTCCCACGCTCCCCACTCCCCGCGGCTCTGTGCTCTGACCACAAGCCCCGAGAGCTGGGAACGACACACGGACACTGGTCCCCTTCCCCGGGGAAAGGCACTTTGGTGACCCCGGGGTTCCGGGCTCCCCAGCCTGCCAGGAGCTTGCCCACCACAAGCAGCGGCCGGGGTGGGGGAAGAAAGCAAGCCGGGAGGTTAGCCTCCCCGAGGAGCGGCTTGTGTCCAACGCTGGGTTCCGCCGGCCACAATTGCTGTGGGGGCCTGGGGCGGGGTGAGTTCAGCGAGCGGGTGGTAAAATGTTGTAGGGCATTTGGTGTGTGAAATAAAGGGCATAGTTTGGGGGGTTCTATCTATCCCCATACATCCCTCCGATCGATCGATCTAGCCTCATGCACCCTATCTATCTATCTATCTATCTATCTATCTATCTATCTATCTATCTATCTATCTATCTATCTA